TGGAGGAGGATTTGGAATATAAATAACCATGTTTAGTTTGGTGATTAGATGCATAATTATAGGGGTACATTAATTATCCTTCAAAAAATAACACACTGCACGATTGCAGCATGGCTTCCAAAAATAATTGGACGTGGCATTTTCTTTAGGGCTGGAATCGACAGTGCATATAGGAAGTAACAAATATATCAATTTTGCTAAAGCACATCTAGATGTGCCATAAGTATTGCACATCTAAGTCCTATATCATTGATACGGGAAGATTTGTATGGATATTTTTTTTCCTTTTTCTTTTCATTTCTATGCTTACCTGTGTCACTTAGATGTGCAATAACCAAGACACATCTAGATATGCCCTAGACAAACCCAAAATATATACACCTACAAATTTGGAATTTCTCTCAAAAACCAATATACCTAATATTAAGGAGCGGAAGGAGAATATAATTCAGTGCAAACAAATGCAACCATTCTCGTTGCATTCAGTGCAAACTACTTTGGTAATCATTCATCAACCATGTGCAAACTACTTTGGTACAACAATGCAGACTTCAAACATATACTCAGCCGTTTCCAAAGAAAAAAAATATACTCAGAAAAGTGCACATACCTTAATATAAAGTGTGTTTTCACATAAACTTGTTGGACCCTTGTAATTTATTTTTGTTATCCTTCCTGATGCAGTGCAGCAATGCGCCATGATGATTTCCAAACCTGACTACTGATCATGCATAAGCTCTCTGCTGCTCTAGCATTATATGCGCTAAGCAGAGATGCAATTAGCTGTTCATAATAAGAATTATCTTATTCATTAATATAAAAACCAAGAAGAAATGACTGCTGCTAGGACTCAAGTCAGTAGAAAATCTGCACAAACAAGGCATCAATCTCTTCGGCTCTATTGCTCTTAACAAGTGTACAACAAATGCTCTCAGAGAAGGGAATGTACGAGTAGCAAAGCATTCAGATTCACATCCAGCACAATCAAGGAATTAACAAAGAGCAAAAACATATGTCCAGGAATCGCAGACAATGGTGATCTGTTCATACACATTTTTTTTAGAAAAGAAAGATGACCCCCGGCCTCTGCATCTGAAAGATGCATACGGCCACTTTATTGATTATTCTCGAGGACCTTACAAAGTATTACAACAATATGCCTGAATCCGTCATCTTGGCAACATATGCCACTAATTCTATCCATATGATGAAGGGGTGCTATCTGGGCCAAAACCCGGTCTACGCACCTAAGCCTATCATCAAAAGCCAGAAGCCCCAGCCGAGCCACATACCGGGTCTGGGACATAAACTGGTCTGACGCACTCACATGTGTCGTCGCCGCCATCTTCCACAGGTCCGTCTTCAGAGCAGATATTGAGGCTTCTACCTTGTCAGGCCACTCCGCATCGACGCCACCTTGACGCCAGACAACTACCTCCACCTGCACGAGTCCATCACCGTGCATCGGGCGCCGAGTCTCCACTGCACCACGCCGTCGAGATCCGCCGTCATCAATGTGAAGGATGAAGTACCGCTCCACCAAAAAAGGCGCCCGCTGGTCCCTCGATCCCGTGTACGCCTCCAAGAATGACGCCCCCAAGGAGGAAACGACACCAACGCGCCGCCGTCATCTGATCAACTGATCTAGGGTTTCCCCCGGAGGTAGCGGATAGAGGTCTAGAGCTTCTCCACGGCGATGCTTTCAAGAAGGTAATGACACCACAGGGTGCCACCAACGCCGCTCTTGGCATCAAGCCGAGCACAAGGTTTTCACCCGGATCCGCTCGAAGAACCTCCATCACGCATTGTGTGCACGGGTCGTCGCCGATCTGAGCTTCCGCACATGGAGCAGGCCGCACCGGCCAGATCAGATCTGTTCGGAGGGCACAACCCGCATAGTGCCGACCCAACCACCAGGCCCTCCATGCCGCCACCGCCGATCCGAGGTCAGATAGTGTGTCGCCGCAGACCCGGTCGCCGCCGCCGAACGCCGCCACGCAGCCCGAGGCAGGGCCGGCTGCCGCACCCCACCATCGCCACCCTTGTTCGAGGCAGCCGCCGCAGGAAGGCAGGCCCGCCGCGCCGCCAGATCGGCCGTGCCACCCACGTCGCGGGGCTCCACACTGCCCGCACGGCGCAGGCAAGAGGGAAGACCCCCGCCACCGCCATCAGCCCCGGGCTATAGCCGGCGGCGTCCTTCGGCGGCGGAGGAGGAAGGGGAGGACGGATGGGGACCCCCGGCGGCTAGGGTTTTGGATCCCGCCCGAGTCGCCCGAGCGGGGGCGACGCGGGGGCGGGGGCGGGGCTGCAGTGAGCAAACTTGGCACTTGAGGACTGTAGTACGAACAATGGGGACTGAGATTGATTGACGATGTGGAGAGACAACGCGATAGCCAGGAGTCGCAGACAATGAAGGACTTGATGACGATGGCCGCTCTCTAGGGCGCAGATCCTCTGACTTCTCTTCAGCAACGCTGCCTCTACCTTAGCCGAGAGAGTCATTGGATCAAAAGCTGGCAGTCCAGATCGAGCGAATCACTGTAGCGCATGCACTGTTCATACAACATTGTAGCTCATGTACTATTCATATCACTGTTTTCAGTGGTCCTGTTGCGCCAAATCTGGGCGGTCCGTTCTCAATCCAACGACTAAAAGTAGAGGAAAGGTAGAGGCACTGTTCCTCTCTACCTTTGCCACAGCAAGGCAGAGAATCCACAGCCCGCTCTCCATGCGTACACTGCCGTGAGTTCCACTGCCGCGTCCTGCAGCTCGCAATCATGCCTCCCCGCGCCCTCTCCTCGTCATTGCATAATTAGATCGTCCTAGCTTGTTCCTTGAACGGCCATACGGCGCCCCGGGGACGCCAACCAATCCAGAGCTGCAAGATGTGCGGGATTCACCGGGGCGTCGCGAGCACGATAGACACGAGCCAAGAAACTCGATCGTGCGTTTGATGGTGGTAGAATTATCTTGGGTTCTCACGTAGGTATGCACACATGAAAGGCAGGAAGGGCCATGTGATTGATGGAATCAATCTCAGTCATTCCGTATGGAATGTGTGAGTAATGCGAGATCATGGGAGGAGCGAAAATTTTGGTAGGAGAGAAACAGAAATGGAAGGAGGTAAGGAACGGAAGGACAGATTTATGTCTCCTTCCATTGCTACGGACGATTTTTACAGACATGATTTGCAGCAAAAATTAGGGCAGTTTCCATGATCTATTTATTAGGTGCCGAAAATCGGTGGGCGTGGCCGCGTGGGGTTACGAAGGGTGGGGAGGTGCGGATGAAAACAACAACTTAAGAGGGGAAACGGAACCTTACGGTTCTTTTAGGTAGTAGAAGATAGATAGTAGAGATAGAGATAGAGATAGAGAAATGGTTGTTTGGTGGTTTCGAAATTTCGATGTAATTTTTATAATAAATCTTGTATCCTTTTTAAAAGAAATCTGTCAACAAGAAGTAATCAAGAGGGGGAGAGAACCGGTCGAAATTTCGATGTAAGTTTTATCATGCGCGTGTGTTGTACGCACGCGTCACGGTCGGCTCTCGAATGCCTCGCCCCCCACCTTGATGGCGCCAAAACCACCGCCGCGCGCGGCCAGTCCGCCCACCGCCGCGCCGCGACTCCTCTGCTCTGGACGTTTCAGCGGGCATGCGCCAAACTCGCACGGCGCGTCCTCGTCGATGGTCACCATCGCCGGGCCCTTCCTCCGTGCCGGGACGGCCGCCGGCGCCTGGCTAAGGTGGACCGTCTTCTTCGCTGCCCCTACCTCCGCTGGCTCGGGCGCGACGCGGCGCTGTTTCGACGCGGCACGGACAAGGCCGTCGGAACGATCCGAGCTCGCCCGCAGGTGCATGGACGTGGCCGGCCCGCCGAAGCCGCGACCACCCACGACCGCCCCCGCTGGCATGCGGCGCGCGCATCCGGACATGCAGTTCACGTAGAGGTCACACGCCCTCGACAGCGCGCGTATCGGCGCGCCGAGGCAGAAGAAGCACCCGCTGGCTTTCCCGCCACCCTTCTTCATCCTTGTGTATGCGTACGTGAAACACAAGATCTTGTCTTTGCACTCGATGGCTGGCTGCGTTATGAGAGTGTACAATGGCACCTCCATCACCTCGTGGTATATATATACGCTTCCATTCCGTGGACGTTGCCCGTTCGGTCCGCGTGAACCGCCGCTTGGTGTTGACCTTTTTGCTCTGGCGTTCATATCCGTGGGGTCGGCGGATTTCTGTACCGGGCGGATAAGAGGGAAACGGTCGGAATCGGCGAGTATTTTGATGGATTCGCAGGAATTTGTCCACGGGTTTTGGAGGATATCGGCTGGCCAACTCGCACGCGCTGCGTCTGTTGATCCAGCGAATCATTGCGTATGTGCATATGCATGTTAGCCGTTTTTTGCGTGCGTTCTTGCAATTCGGCCGGTAAATATACAATAAAACTTTTCTACTGTTGCTTGTTTCAGCGCACGTAAGCCATTGGAAGACACCAACCTCTACTGTCTCGATTGTCTGGTAGCTCCTGGTAAACCATGTCTCCTGAGGGAAGCTACCGTCACTGTTCCTTTTATTTTATTTTATATATGTTTTCTGATTGGCCACTTGCCCCTTGATTTTGGCATACAGAGGACCAAAGAGAAAGCAGAAGACACGGACACACCACCACCATTAACATTTACATCATCCTTAAGCAAAGCAATTAGGGACGGCAGCGTTAACATACGGAGATGTGGACTTTGGAGCAGAGCAGAGCAATTATTCATGTTTCTCGGGGTCAACTTTGAAAATTAACCTTAAAAAAAAACGTTGAAAATTAACCAGATCGCCACCGTCGATTTTTCTTCTACTGGACGGATATGCGCACCCGTTTGCGAGCCGAAGCACTGGTCCTCCGACCCGCCGGCCACCAGTCCATATCCCCTACCGCCTACCGCACGTCACTTGACCAGCCAGCCGCCCCACTCCACCCTCCACTGCGGCACGCGCTCCCGGCGATGTCGTGGCTCGCGCGCTCCATTGCGGCCACCCTCTCCTCCGCCCCCGACGACGACGACGACGACGACGACCACTCCGAGGCAGCCACCGGCGACGAAACCCCGGATCACGCCGCCAGCGCCGACGCCGAGGAGGACGAGCAGCCGGACACCCCCGGCCGCGGGGTCAAGGGCGACATCTCCGAGCTGACCGAGTCCCTCACCCGACGCTTCTGGGGCGTCGCCTCCTTCCTCGCGCCGCCGCCGCCGCCGGCCGGGGCCGAGGCCGAGACGTCGACGGCGGCTGCTGAGGCGGAGGCGGAGGCGGAGGGAGAGTATGGGCCCCAGTCCCCGCGGGTCGCCGGGATCCGGAACGACCTGGCTGAGATCGGGGGCAGGGTGAGGAGCGGCATCTCGATGCTGTCCAACGCCAACGCCGTGGCGGAGATCTCCAAGATCGCCTCGTCCTTCCTGCCTTTCGTGCCGGAGGAAGAGGAGGAGGATGTGGATGCGGTGGGCCTGACGGAGGAAGTGGTGGTGTTCGTCAGGCACATCTCGACCTCTCCCGAGACGTGGCTCGATTTTCCCCTCTTCGTCAACGACCGGCACGCCGATGGTAAGACCCAGTTGCTTCAGACTTTTCTGCTCGAGCTTTATCTGCACTAGACTATTATTTCGGTCTACTATGCACTTGTGTGGTTATGAGATGTAAGTGCAGCAGAAGACTCTGAATTCTGAAACTCAGATTATTAGTGTTGAATCAGGTGTTTTAATCTAGTAGATCTTTGCAGTTTTGCTCAAACTATGTTTATACTGCCTATGCTGTGGTTAATAGAATGGTGTATTTGCTAAGTGTGGAGACATGAGGGTGCAGCTTCAGGCCAAATCAATCACATCATGTTCAAACTGACTGTTTCTCCACATTTTTTAAGGGTTACCAAGGAATTGCATTGAATTAATTAATATGTTAGCACTCCATCTGATTACATTTGCTGATATCCAGTTCGACAGAGTGGGTGCCTGAAATGAGTTACTGTGTCTAGTCTCATTAGGGCTTTAATCGAGTTTGTTTGTTTAATTGAAGTGATATTTAGTAGGAAGTAATTTAGTGAGGAAGTTTTGGAGTATAGATTGCGGATTTTAATAATGAGAGAGAATGATAGTCCATGTTAGTCAGTGTGTTCCAGCTCTCAGTATGCACCTTCTCATAAATGCTCATGATGAAAATTTTGTCGTTTGCCATGTATTCTTAGTATCGAATTGTTACGAAGCTGCAATTTCTGCAAAAACATCAGGATTAACTATGCCATTTACTGATCTACAAGACCTCCCAAAGCTAGAGATGAATTAGAAAACACCAAAACACTGACAAAGCTAGATGCAGACTCAAAGCACATATACCAGCACCGTAACTTAACCTGATGATTCACGTAAACAACATCAAATAAGCTTGTTATAAAAATTGCTTGCTTGTAACATTAATGAAGTTTTACTTATTAAGACATACTCCCTCGGTCCCATAATATAAGAGCGTTTCTGACACTAGTGTAGTGTAAAAAACGCTCTTATATTATGAGGGAGTACAAATGAAGTCCCTACAAATAAATGAGTTGTGTCAATTGCACACGCACCTTTGATCAAATAACTCAAAGAAGCACTTGACCTTGATTGCTTTCTATACTTAGTGGAAGTTTAGCTTGTTTTCAATGAACCAAGGTTCCTGATGATATCAGTACATGTACACAATATAGTTGAACCAAGTACATTTATCCAGCAATTTCTTTTTGTAGACTTATTGCCAATCTTCCTGTTGTTTATGGCGTAATCGTAATTTTTCCTACCTACCAAACTTGCGGACCATGAAACTGTCATTGACTACTGTACTTTGCACTAACTTGGCGTAGTAATCAGTCACAAATGTGTTTTTAGAATGATCATGAATGCTTATTACTACTATATGCTTAACATCATGCTCTCCTTCTCTTCATTATGTGGGAGTAGTATTTACTTGTCATTCATGCATCTTGTTCCATCATGCCAGTCGTATGTTACATATCACGCCTGACTGTTGCTCAATTCCTTCGCTTATATCTTCCATGCTTTTGTGTTCAGATTTTGAACTGTCAGATACACAATATGAACATGCATTGGCTATAGAGCGTATAGTACCAAGCTTATTATATCTCAGAACCGAACTTTGTTCGACCAATATGAGTGAAGCATGCTTTTGGAAGATCTATTTTGTGCTTCTTCACTCAAAGCTCAACAAGGAAGATGCTGAACTTCTTTCAACGACACAAGTACACTCCCTTCTCTCTGTCTTATTATTTCTGTTGTGTTTTCCAAACATTCTTAGTTACCATAGATTATCATGCCATCTTGTTGCAATGCATGCAATCCTACAAATAACTTTGTAAACAGAAACATGTGCCCATGCATTTGCCTGTGTTTACCTGTTTCCAAATGTGGCCTCTCATTTCCATATTCACCTGTTAAGAGTCACTTTTGGAGTTGTAGCTGTATCGATGACGATTTTTTTTATCAGGAATTCATCTTTTGATCCCTTCTATATCTGCAATACGTCATATTGCATGTTCACAAGAAAGAAGACATCAATCTGCATTCTCATTAAGCTTGAGATAGTGAAATTCCCCGATACTTTATTCTATGCAACTGTATGGAATTGGATCTGGATTGTTCATCCATAGTTGAATATGGGATTGAATCCATGGTCTCACAATATTGCGAGACTTGTCTTAAACGTCTAAGCTGGGAAATCAGGTCGATTTATCTGAGTACTGTAAACGGGCTTCAGAATATCTAGAACTTGATAGTGGCCCTTGTTGACTTTCAAAAAAAAAATAGTGGCCCTTGTTGGCTTTATGAACAAGGATTGAGTGTTTACATCCATTTCCAGCCAAATATCAATTATGATAAATCCACCATGTGCCATCATCATTGGTACAGTCTTGCTTAAGTTTTATGTTAGCTCTGAATGCTAAGTTGAGGATATTGTTAACTTTAAGGTCGCAAGCATAACAAAGCCCAGAAGTGGTATCTAATTATATAGTATAATTCTTTTTAGAGATTCTAATATGGACTACATACAGAGCAAAATGAGTGAATCTACACTCTAAACTACGTCTATATACATCCGTATGTAGTCCATATTAAAATCTCTAAAAAGACTTATATTTAGGAACAGAGGGAGTATGATCTCTCTTAAATCTTTATGCATATCCAAGCTCCATATTGTATTCTCATTGCAGATACGCTAAGTCACTCGTCATGTTAAATCTATCAGCTCATCAAGTTGAATATACTCAGCGTTGTTAATTTTTTCAATATTCTTGTGGTGGAAACAATTAGGATTGCTTAAAACTAAGATCTTCCAAATGGAAATATCAGTGTAAAATATAGCGTACCCCCTAGTCCCTACAGCAAACCTGAACAGCAGGAGGATATGTTAATGGGCCATTAGAATTTGGATTGTGAACTAAGATTATGTTATTTTGTCTAGTATGCATATGATTCATGGACAATTGTACCGTCAATATAGTTACAGAATGGTGACCATCATGCATGTGGAATGTTGTGGATCATATTATGATGTCATCGGTAGCATATATACTATCCTGTTGTCAAGATAACATATGTAAGGATGGCAATGGGTCGGGTTTGGATCGGGTTGAACAATACCAAATCTATATTCATATCCATGAAGGCAGTCCCAGCCCATCCATGAAAAAATCCATGGGCGAAAAATTGTGACCATGTCCAAATCCGATGAATATCCATACCCATTGGATATCCATCGGGTCCTCTCAAGACCTATACATAAGACATAACTCATTGCACAATGTGCACTCTGCATTGGCGTGCTCACTCCCTGCCGTGCAGTATAGCCCTTGCATTGTCCCACTGCTGCGGCCATGCATCAATGCGTGTGTGGAAAAGCGAAGACGGAGGGGTTAAGGAGATATGGAGCTGGGTTGTCGCAGGCCAGTAGTGGCTACTGCAATGATCCACCTTACGTGGGGGTAGCGGCTGGCAGCGGCAGCCTCCTCTAGGGCTATGAGAGGAGTAACTCAAGGAGATGGCACCAATTCTCAACGACAAGTCATTTAATTAGTGTAGATAATAGGATGAGAAGGTGCGTTGGAGTATGTTACAGCGGGGATTGTGTAATTTCTTTTGGATGTTTTAGATAAAGGATAAAATTATAGTGGGACATGTGACTATGGGGTAGGGGTAGCAGAATATTGCTCGTTAGGTTAGACGATCGGGTCGGGTTTGGATATATCCATGGGTACAAGATTATGTCCATGCCCTATCCACGAGTAATCGGGTCGGGTTTGGGCGCTGCCCATGGGCGCAAAAGCATATCCAAACCCTATCCATTCGGGTTGGATATCCATGGGTATCCATGTCCATGGATAAAATTGCCATCCTTAAACATATGCATACTAATATATCACCCTTGGAAACTAACATTGACAACACCAGTGAGAATTGAGAAATGTCAGACTTCGTAGTAATGTTGGAAAGGGTTCTCGCGATGATCTTTTGCTAAATTTGACCTTATTGAGATATTTCTTTCATGCAGATCCTGGAAGCAAGAGAAGAGTTATTGCAAAGCTCCCCAAGGATGAAAAATGTAGCGTCTGAGGGTCCTGGGGGCCCATCAGAAAGCAGCAATGTTCTATCTACCCAAGCTGAAGATAAAGAGTTGTCACCCTCAAGCATCCAAGACAAGAGTGGAATGGCTGAAGCAACATCTTTCCAAGAACCAACTCCTGATCCTCTGCCAGGGGCTGAGGCTGACAAGCATCCCATTTCAACCAGCGAGCCGGAAATTATTGACAAGTCTGTAATTGAAGAAGAGCTGGTGGTGAAAACTGAAATCAAGAATCAGGGTGACAAACCCAACCTGTACACCCCGGAGGACGACGACGACAAAGAAGTGGAGGATTGGCTAGAGGACATGGACCATGCCGACAACAAAACAGGCAATATCACCTCGGTTGGGCAGGACGAAGACGTGTCATTCAGTGACCTGGAGGATGACGATGATGATTAAGGGTTGCCTGGTGGTAAATACCAAGCCCAGTGCCAGATACATATGCTCTGCGGCTTCAAGACATACGGTCGCTGTTAAAACGAAGGATCGTGTCTCAGTAGCTACTACAAAGCGAACAACGCGGAAGCAGAATCACGACAAGTTGATAAGCGTGTGTCTCCGGGGTTTTGCTTTCTTGATTCGAGTTGAACGTTTACTTGTGTGCCGTCATGGTCTGTACATAGAAACAGTAGCCGCACGTCACTTGTAAGCTGTGTTGATGCAAGATTCTGAATGTAGATGCTAAAAACATGTTTATTTTTCTAGTGAACGCAAAATACGATACGGACTAAAGCTGTCAGATATCGTGTAACTGGTCAAGTTCAAGTAAACTCGTTTTGTTTCCGTATTCTACTTTCTTTGAGTTTGAGGAGCAGGCTGCTTTTTACTCTCCAGACAGAGTCTCAAATCTGAGTTGTTCGTCGAAAGCAAACTCGAAGTAGCAATATCTCCAGCACAATGCATGTTCTGTTGCTCGCATTCTTGTGTTTAGAGTTTGTCTAGTCCCTGATAGCCCGTGGTCTAAGAGTAACTCCAACTGGCTGACTTAAACTGTGCGTGTGTGTCCGTTTGGGTGTCGAAACGAATCAAAGTGTCGGCTCAACGCGTCCGTTCAGTGCCCATGTGGACGCATTTCTGGCCCAAATTTGCGTCCGATTTACGTCCATACTAAGAGCAACTCCAACCAGCCGACCCAAATTGTGCGCGCCTGTCCGTTTGGGTGTCAACATGGAGGTCTAGGGTTTACAGGGTAACTGGATGCGATCTTGGCTGCTGCCGCCCTTGCCTTGGGAAACATGTCTAGGTTAGGTTGGTTCCTCCCCTTGCTGGGCCCTGGTCGCCGGCCCATGCCTTCACTTGGTTGGGCTTGGTTAGCCACCCCAGCGTCATGGCCAGGGAGAACGATCTCAAGTTATCCTCGTGGTCAACATCTGTTTTCTTTGTACTGCAATATTATGTTCATCGTATATTTAAAAGATGTTCAATGTGTATTTTGGAGGGAAAATATACACAATATTATGTTTATGTATAATATAAGAAAATATATTCATCATGTATTTAGAATAAATATTCATGTCATATTCAAAAACATGATCACTATGTTTTTGAAAACATCAATGTGCACATATAACATATTTATATAAATGAAAAAGTAGGGAAAACAATGAAGATGGAAAATTAATAAAAGGAGAGAAAATAGATAAAAATGAAAAACCGTAAGAACAAAAAACAAATAAAACCGAGCTGGCGGACTTCTTCAAGGGCTAGAGTGTCGCCTTCGACGCCCAAGGGCACAGCCCATATAGCGGCGTCTCTGACGGCCGCATCCTTCAGGTGGAACGGGGACAAGATAGGCTGAACCACTTAGGCTGGTCATAATGGGCAAGAACATAGTCTAGTAACTTACACACTTCCCTAGACTATGTTACTACCTCCACAGTGGGTAGGAACATCTATGTAGTGTCATGCAACAATGTATTTATTAGGTTATATACTCATTGTTTCTTGGAGTGTGTGATGTTCCGGTAACTTAGCTAGTTACCACAAGCACCTCTCTCTTCATTAAATATGTGACACATAAGCAAAATTGTATTGGAGTGTGTGATGTTATTCCTAAGTTCCTCCCCATTGTGACCAGCCTTACGCATACAGCCCTGGCTACGATGAAGACATGTGCAGGGCTTCGATATTCCGCCTGGCAACTTTCACATAGAGTCAGTGTGGCCGGCCACTTGGTTTGCAGTTTCATCACAAGTCTGGGGATCTATACGTGGCCGACGCCTACAGGGGACTCATGCGGGTTGGTCCTGGTGGCCGGGAAGCCACAATATTGGTTAATGCGGTCGATGATTTACCTCTCCGCTTCACCAACGGGGTTGAGGTCGACCAGGTCACCGGTCAAGTCTACTTCACTGACAGTTCTATGAACTATGACAGGACGCATCATGAGATGGTCACAAGATCAGGGGATTCAACAGGGCGTCTCATGAGGTACGACCCACATACCGGTGATGTTGCGGTGCTCCAAACACGCCTGGCGTATGCAAACAGGGTCGCTATCAGCACCGACTGTACGCATCTCATTGTTGCATCTACGGGGCCGTGCAAGCTACTAAGGCACTGGATCAAAGGGGCCAAGGCGGAGGCGGGGACGTCTGAGCCATTTGTCGATCTCCCCGGCTACCCCGATAACGTAAGGCCTGGCAAAATAGGAGGTTACTGGGTGGCGTTACATGGCGAGAAGAATGAATTGCCCTGTCATCCCAATAGTCATCTGCTCGCTGCGAGGAGGCAAATTTTCGTGTTTTGACCCTTTTCTGAAACCTATTCAAGATTTGACACTAGTTTGAAAAAAATTCGAGATCTGACCCTTTTGCTACCGCCAGAGTCCATGGCGGTAGGGTCTAACAGCGAGCGTAGGCTGTTATACCCTACCGCCATGGTCCCTGGCGGTAGCAAAAGGGTCAGATCTCGATTTTTTTCAAACTAGGGTAAAATCTCGAATAGGTTTCAGAAAAGGGTCAAAACACGAAATTTAGCCCTGTGAGGATCGGAGCTGACGGCAAGATACTCAAAGAGATGAGGGGGCCCAAGAGCGTCAAACCGGCAGAAATCATGAAAAGAGACAACGGGAAACTTTACATAGGCTCTAATGACTTGTCGTACGTCGGCGTAGTTACACGCAAGTGGGGAGGCTGGAATTTTTTGTGTTTCGCAAATAAATAGAATTTCTTTATGCACATAGATTTTATAAGAGTTTTTTGTTGTTGTAATGGTTATCGATCGGTGAGTGCATTTTTCAGGGGGCAACTACTATAGAATCTGAGCCTACTGTGAAAGAATAGAAAAAATGAGTTTGGACCATTGGATGGCATATTGATGGCTCAGATTCGGGTGGAGCAATCTCTGACTACAAGTTTGCAAATAGGTCCCTGCCTGAGAGTTAATTTGCTCCCGGCGTCCTAATCATTCAGACCCAAACCCGATTCCCCGATGCACCGACACACGCACGATCTAAAATTCCTCCTCCTGCGGCGGCGGCGGCCCAGATCCCTCAACCAAGAGCTGGGCGAGTACGACCAATGGAGGCGTGTTCCAGTGGGGAAGCACCTCAGAGCTGATCAGATCGGAGAGGAGCAGATCAGATGACTCCTGGCCGTTGTGTCGCCGCCCACCCGGTTATGCAGAGCAGATCCGAGCTCGCCGGCTACTAAGCTCCGCCCTACTTTGTGCTCGTCACTGGTCACTGCCTCCCCATCCGAGGTTCCAGGAGCGGTGGGTTCGTCGCTTCCTCCTTCACCTCGTCGGCTGCAAGCAGGTGATGCTATCTCCAGTTCTGTTTTCATGTACTTTTCCATGTCACTGCTCATATGGGAAGATGCCATTTTATAACTTCAATTTGATGATGTATTGCTACTGTTCTTAGTGGTTTGGTAGTCTATTTTGAAAGTTCTGTTTCACCGGTAATTACTTAGATAACCAAGTTGGAAGGTTGCAGATGGGTAGATAATCCTCGATTTTAGGACAACTCAATAAAAAATATAATTACTACCTGCGGTTGCTAAGTTTGTTGTCGCAATATGCAGCCATTGGTTGAAAACTTGATGGGATAGTAAGCTCATTTTTATTGTGAAGATGAAGATAGATTTTACCAGTTCATATAATAGATGGATTGTATTAAAATTTTCCAGTTCTAGGCACACCCTTCCGTCTCTAAATTTGATTTTTTATAAATGCAATCTTGTGGTGATATGGCTAGAATCAAGAGGAACACATAAGCTTAACATTTGCATGCTTCGGTAGCAAACTTTTCAAGAGAATAGTCAGTGTACTTAAACTCACAAATGCAAAGTATGCGCTCCTGTAAATAGGCGACAGCGACACCACTGTAACCTTTGTTGTACTTTGCGAGAAAAAGTTAGATGTATGGAACATCATGTACAATCACAGCAATGCTTCCATTAGAAAAAGTACTATAGAAATCGGCAGATGTAGCATAGGCCCTGATTTTTTATGTATCAAAAGTGCAAAACCAATCTCCAGCAGTAGACCCTTTTCATAGAAACCTTGGTGGAACCCTACATATTGTCCATTCTTCTGGAGTTCATGAACACCAGGCACTGATGGGTGAAATTTGCTGGCAGTAATCATTGATGCAAAGCTTGTTGTATAACTTGCTGGACGTACCAGAAGAACAACCTTCCATATACGTTGAACAATTCTAGCTAGAAAGTGTTCCAGTTCCTCTGCAGAAATTAAAATCAAGACTTTAGTAAGACAATAAAGAAATTTCAATGCTGGAATACTGCAATGCGCACCATTTCAGGACTTGCTAGTAAGCATCTGTAATTGCAATTTCTTTAGGTGATAAATGCAAGTCATACCATCAGTTTTTAACCAATTTAAATAATGACAGTGCTGGATGCCAAGATAGATTTTCTCTGTACTGAAGTGCAATTAAAAAGAAAAGGCGCATATATCTTGTAGCTTTACTTCTATTTCGTTTGTTCTTTCTCCTAGGGAAAGTAATATGGCTCGTGCCCTTGTTTCTAATGCGGAAGGTACCCTAATTTCTGATTTCATTCATGCCATACTATCGGACGATGTAAGTTTATTCTCTAATCGATAATGTTGCCATGAAGGCTTTAGGCGCATTGCTTATTTTCTTAGCAGATACACTGAGATTAGTTCATTTCCTCCCTCTGATTTGTCATGCTGTGTTTGTGTTGTGTACCATGAAGATAGCAATGCAGTTCATTAGCAGATACAAACTGGGATTAGCAGCACAAGAAGCTCAATGAGCAAGAAGCACTCGGTGAGCATGAAGCACAAGATGCAAAGGCTGTAGCTTTTATGTGATGTACCACCAAGATAGTAATGCAGCTTTTAATGGCCGTGCTTGTTGGGTTGTGATTATTTTAGTCTACTTAGTCTTGCCCGTGTTGTAACAAAAGTAATCC